ATACGTATTCTCACATGCATGTATGTACAGATATATTTTTTACATAAATTCTGTTGTACAAATACTCCTGGTTATCGTATTGTATCAGTCGTGGTTTGTATCCTTTTTAGTAGAAGTATTTGGTCTTATTGATTTGTAAAAACTGCGCGTTATATATGTACGCGGTCATCTTCGTGAATGCTAGATATATTTTATATATATATATATATTTATATTCAGACCGTTTGTTGTTGTATACGTGCGAGGTTCAGATATAAACATCACTATACTATGCTGTGCCATTAACTTTCTATACTATACACGGAGTGATTTTTTTTATCGCTATTGTAGATACATGTAATCATGCCATCATGGCTGTTCGAGCATACATATAAAAGCCATGGACTTACTTGCTCAACGCAGCGATCGCGATAAGAATATTGTGGCTGGACTTTCTCTGTGATCAACACCTCGGGCATCGATTCTATGAACTTCATTTCTGCGTCTGTCATATCTGTGTTTTTGCATATTAAGCAATCATTGAGATATCTATTCGTTCACATTGTACCCCTATGCAAGAGATAATCTTTTATATTCCGTAGGCATATTGTATGCAAGAAGAACCCTTTGCGATCCATATACTACGATAGTGGAGGCAAGAACCCGTACATGCTTCCATCATAACCAATTTTCCCCTTGGGCATCAAGCTTCAAGCTATAGATTAGCATTGCGGCTGCTTTTATGTTGTCAAGTATTTATCATATATATAGCTACTTACCGTAAACCCAGTAAGCATAAAAGTCGCCCAGATTATATACAGTGGGTGGATGACTATCGTCTGTCATAGTATCAACCAAGTGCATATGTGCTTCAAAGACCGCTGTGTCCATTTCAGAGTTCAACTGCACGAACATCTCTTCTGCAACAACGCTGCTGATGGCGATTAGCGCCCAAGTATAGGATCTGATATTCATGATGCTTGATGTTGAGATGCTTCCCGACCGGTTTGCGTATCTACGGAACATGTAGATACATAGCCATGTTATATAGCTAGATACTTCATATTCTTACAAGAATTGCCTTTATTGTTTAATTATGCATACCTCAATAGGATTAGATCCTTCATCATGGAATAGTACGCTGTGCGACTTGATTTATCAAGTGTAACTGTGCAGAAACCATGGTGTTCTCATTCCGGCTCGTCAAACGGATTTGGTTGCTCGCCCAATCAGATGCCAACGATTACGGAGAGACGCAATTTCTATGTGAAAAAATTAAATTTCATCACCAAGTGATGTGGCGTCTGGCGAGCGGCGACTGGTGTAATGAGTAAACTATCTGTATAATGATGGGTTTATCATCGAATCTTGTTCATTAAAAATGTAGAATCCGGCAGAGCAGAACCACTGAACCAGTACAGAACCGGGTTGTTGTCTTGTTTCAATGCTGGAGTAACGGTGAGGGAAGACGGATGCTCGATAGCAACCGCAAAATGCAAATAGGTCTCTAAGAACCACCAGTCACTACCTTCAAAATGTACTCGCGAGTGTTTGCTATTTTTTAAAAGGACAGTAAGCTCATAGATAAATACGCGTAAGGTTCATCTGGCCGATTAGAGATATATGTGTATGAAGTTATGAAGTTTATTGATATGTATGAAGGATCGCGCTCAAGTTCAGCTATACACATAAATTGTAAGTGCATAGATATGATCGAGAAAAGCGCAGCTTCTCGAAAACCGCAAGTATTAAATGCCACCCTCGCTGTTGAGTTGGTCGTTAACGATGGAAATTTGGACATGGACTGCGGCATGTTGTTTTCGGATTCCCACGTGCGCGCTTCCGAGGCCATCCATATATAGATCGTCATTGCACACATCCGCGGCGAAATTATCCGTATCCCCCATTCCGCTCTGGACAAAGAACTTTAGCTCGGCAGATGCTATCTCCGGTCGATTTTTTTTGAAACTACATATGATTTAAAAATATTTTCATTGCTGGCCGACCATGCGGACATGGAACGCGAGGTATTCATGAGTTTCTCACTTCCGCTAATTTGCCAATCAGTCCAAACACTGTACACCAGCTTGTAGGTGAACATGCCGCATTCATATATACTTGAACGCAAAATAGCAGCAAAACTTAAACGTGGAGACAGAGTGTCGTAAACGTACGTAAACACAAAATACAAAGCCACTACTAGCTGACTAGACCACACGCGAAAGTCACCAGCCAACGAAGCAAGCATAAAAACATCGCGTGTTTTGCGATCGGCTTCGAAGGTCTCCGCACTGATGACGCTTTTTTGTCGACAAAGCTTGGATATTGTCATATTCGGTTGCGTAGCACGGTCACTCTCGCTTCGTAAGTCAGTTGACAAATTATTTGCATTACATTTCCGAGAATCAATCGCACCAGACTGGTCTTCATCCACCTCATCTAAGCTAATGTCACTCAGCGTTCGCATTTTCTCCAACTTGAAATGCTAACCCGCATCTCGTGACGACAGACTACTGCCAAGACCTATCGAACCGATACAGGAAAGCGATCGCATACCGAGTAAAGCCGGTGTGCTTTGTCGCCTGTGTGCTTTGGAAATTAGACCGTCCACCACAATCTCACTCTTGATCTTTTCTGCACCCGCCTGACTGATACGATAGATAGCGATGCGTGAACTTCCCCGTCTGAGGGTTTTGTCCGGGAGGTGGTTCTTGGCGGTCCGAGATTCGCCCTTAAATGATATACTCTTTCTCACATAAGTGCCTATATGCTGGTCAGGAGTGCGACTATCTACACCTTCTGCTACTATCTCTTCGAATTCAATTGTATTAGATACAACGCAGCCCTACGCGGCTTCCGACAGAGCTTGCTCGAGGATCGCAGCCTGCCATGCGAAGTTGGCTATGAATTGTCCATGATCGGCAGCCTGGAGAACCTCCACGTGCTTGACACTGGCTTGGTTTTCGCGTAAGTACTCCTGTGTGATATAGTGATAGTTATTTAGAACGAATCTTTTACTGCCCTAGAACTCGGTATACTAAACTTAAAAACCAAAGTGGCGCTGCAGATAATAGATAGCAAAGAACTAGACGTTCAACACTTTGATATCATCTGTGCACCCATATCTAGCACAAAAATCTAATAAAACCTTGGTCTAAACTGTGGCTGAAAAGAAAAGCTCCTGAGTAAATTCCACACGAGACAAGCGAGAGCTACTCGCAACGAACTATGTTGGTCACGGCATGCGATAATGCTTTATGATCACGCACCATCTCCACCATCTTCATCAGGGATAGACATTGTACCTGCGAGTGTTGTGACTTACCTTGATAGCCGCTACAGGGATGATGTTATCATTGTCGCTGAAAAGGACATTTATGTTAGGCGGAAACTCGTATGCAAAGAGTGTCAGCTGATACCACCAGAAATTGCGACAAAGTGTGTGCTGCGTATAAAGTTCTCTGCTGCACAGCAAATATCGGGTCCAATCCCTCGCGCACTTTGGAGAGGTGTATATGAAGTTCTTGAGAACATCGGGCAGAAATAGCAGGAAGCAGATAGGATCCACGAATGTACCGCTGGCCACCACCTAAAGCAGTCGACAATATAACAGTAAATTATCATAATTTGACATCAGCGAATGATCGCAGTGTAACGCTTTGCTCATGTGCTGAGGTTGGATAAAACAATTTCTCTTCGTGATTCAGATGCCCGCTGCAAAATTCTTTTGAAGTTCATAACATACCTCCGGATGCATCTTACACAAGCGCGCAAGAACGAGTGTACCGAAATTGTGTCCAATGAAATTAGCACTTTCATATCCATCTCTTTTCAGCACGGTTTGGATCGCCGCCGCTTTAGTATCCATGGACGGAACCTCTGCGGCCAAGCGCAAAGCTACATATGGCATTTCTAGCACATACAGATCACTTCTTCGGGAGGTAACGTGCGTTACCAGCTGCCCGAGAAGTTCTGAGAGTCATTAGTCGTCGGGATTATGTGGTGTGGATTAAGTTATTGGATTGATGGCGATGCTATTATTAGCTGATATAGCGGACCCGTATCACATCTAGACTCGTGAACAGGACTGAAAATCATATCTTTTTCAAACTATACGACGAGTCACGCGCAACGAGAAAGTCGCAGAATCATGGAACATACCTGAAGTATGAAGTGCAAGTAAGGTGCCAGACCCATCCCAAGACCATGAAGAAAGACGAAGGGTACGGGTTTATTTTCTTCGGCTGCTTCTCTATTGTCCATTCTGTAGAATGTGTGAATGACATGACTTCTCGGCCTGATATACAAACATTGTGCAGATTGTTCGATGGGCTCTTCAATAATATCACAGCTTGAAGTGTCTCCAGTGCCCAAATCAAGCTCCGAAATGAGAAGACTTCAAATATATTCTGGTGTTGTCTATCACAAAATTATTGTTAAATCTCTTGCCAAGGTAACAAACACCCATATAACTTTAGTTGTCGAGCGGAGAACATACGTAGCTTTGCCGGGCCTGTACCAGTAGTTGAGTGCCCCGTTGTTCCGATATTGAAAGCCAGCCATAGTGATTATAACCTTCGTTAAGAGAGCTACGTAATGCGACCAGATATATGTGATTAGAGGTCTGTGAATCACTCTGAGGGGCTCCATAATGTGTGCCATGTACCTACAAGGAGAGAGAACGTGTATGAGATTGAGTTTAACCTCTGTGTGCACTAAAACATTTCAGTGTGAATTATATCGATCATTCGGAATACTCACTGCACCAAGCAAGAACCATGTGCATACTAATTTGACATATCTGAATCGGTACAAAAAGAGCCAGGGAAACAAACGCAGTAGTACCTGACACCTTCTCTATCACTCTCGGGGGCCACAATAAGGCCTTTCTCACGGAGAGTATTCACCAGTGCATTGAGATTTTCTTTCTGCTCGGGCGACAGTGCAGCAACTGCTTTACTACAGAGTCCCGCGGCGAAGAAGCTGACTAATTCATCCCTCGACAACCTGCAAGCGAAATTCCATGACTGGGTAAATCGTACGAAAGTTCTTACACCTGTGAACAAGGTGTTGACATGCATTTGTAGCTTGATGTACAGGCATCTATCTACTTACGAACTGAAAAATAAATGATAGGGACTCATAGATTAAGTATGTATAGGCTCTTCTGTACATGTGATCAACTATGAAAGTTACAAATATATTTATTCACGAAGACACAACTAATTTTAACAGACTGTAAATATTGTCGCATCTGGATACTCTTGTGAAACAATTTAAAAGCGAACGAGTAGTCTGAACGCATTCTACATAAAAACACACATTCAATAGTATTACTATGTATCTGGAGCTACCGATTATATAAATTGCAAAAACAACACGACAATAACTGCGACAACTGTATATCAGCGTCACAAAATGATCGGCTCCAGAGGGATACGCGATCAATTGACAATATATATACATATACATATATATATATATATATATATAATATAGAAATATATATATATATATATATAATATATAAATATATATATATATATATATTCTTATTTATTATACATA